CACTCGGGCTGCATCGCCGCGGTGCACAACGTGCCACTGAGTGTGCTCATCCGGCCGCTGCCGTCTGTGCTGGACCCGGCCAAGGTACAGAGCCTGGTGGACACGATCCGGGTGAGGCCCCGGGGACACCGGCGGGAGGGAGGGCGCCGGAGGAGGCAGGTCGCACTGGACGCTAGAGGGGGCTGGTTCCCGCCTCCTTCCGAGCACTGCCTTTGCTGTGTGACCTTGAGCAACTGGCTGGGACGCCCTGAGCCTCGGTCTCCTCCCTGGAGCAAGTAGGAGTTGATGAAAGGATTAAAGTAACGATCGCCAACAAATAGCACTTCGCAGGGGCCCAGGATCAGTTCTAAGTGTCTGAGCTTCCTCATGCCAACAGAATGCGGTAGATACTTCTGTTGCTCCTCTTACAGATGAGGAAACTGAGGCACAGGAGGATGTAAGCAACTTTTTCAAGGTCAGATCCTGGCCACCGCACTATCTGTCCCCTTAAGCTGAGTTATTTCTCCACGAAGCACTCCTGTCCACCTGAGATTATATTATACATTTATTTGTGGGTGTTTTGTTGTCTGTCTGTTCCACCTCCTGTGAACTCCACAAGAGCAGGGACCATTCCCAGCACGGTGCCTGGCAGTTTATGAAGGATCTAGCCCTGTGCGTGCTGTCACCCTGGGCCTTTGCACGGGCTTTGTACCCTGCTAGGAAAACCCTTCCGTCTCTCTTTATTATGTCTAACTCCTCCATCTTCCTATCTCAGGGTCAGTGTCTTCCCTGACAGTCCCTGCTGGGTTAGAGGCCTCCCGTGGGCCCCTAGCCACCTGCATGCCCACCAGCAGAGCTCTGATCCCACTGGGTGTTAATGGGCTGTTTAGACACCTGTCTTCCTCGTTAGAACCATGTGCTCTGTGAGGGCGAGAACCAGGCCTGTCTTTGCTCACCATAGGTATTTTCTACTCTGGCTACTATACCAAAGTACCAGGAACTTAGTGGCTTAAAACAGTACAGATTTGTTATTCTATAGTTAGAAGTCCAGAATGGACCTCACTGGGCTAAAATCAAGGTGTCCGCAGGGCTGCATTCCTTTCTGGAGTGTCTAGGGGAGATTCCATTTCCTTGCCTTCCCCAGCTTTTAGAGGCCACCACCTTCCCTGGCTCATGGCATCTTTGCTCCATCTTCAAAGCTAGCAACATCAGACCTCCTCTTCTGCCAGAATAATCTCCCGTGTCAAGATCCTTAATTGCATCTGCCAAGACCCTTATGCCATATAAGGTAACATATTGACAGGCTCCAGGGATTAGGATGTGGACACTTGGGGGAGCTGTTATTCTGCCCATCCACCCACCATCATGCCTCTAGCGCCCAGCATGGCTGCCCCTCGTTAGGGCCCCTCCGCCAGGCAGGCTGTGCTTTGCGCTCTGTGTCAGCTTCTTGGCTTTCAGCAGCCCCATAGAGCAGCGGTTCTCAACCTGTGGGTCGCGACCCCTTTGGCGGTCGAATGACCCTTGCACAGGGGTCACCT